GTTATACTCCTTGGCCTCTTTTATAAAATTAGTCATCATAAAGAATCCAAGAAACACAGCTATATACTACATTGCAGCCACCAGGATTAATTCCATTTTTGCATTCCAAATTAATGAGGTTACACTGGTGTATATTTCCTGCTGTCCTTCAATTGAATCAGTGTGAAGCCTTGCTAGGATGATATCTTAGTAGCACTGTTACTGAGATTATGCATGATGGCATAATTCTCCATGGTGTGGTCAATGAAGAACATTTTTCTCTCAGAAAAAAAGATGAAAGATTATGAATTCCACATGTTGGGAGAGCCAATATCTTGATTAAAATCTAGTTGAAGTGAATGTAATAGATAATAGATTTATTTTGTGATGAGCATAACATAAGTTTATCAATAAAATTTTTCATTGAACTTATGCCAAAGTTAATATGATATAATAATCATATTGAACAAATTTGAAACATGATAACCAAATACAAATTTGCTGATATGCACGAATGACCCAAATTTATAAATCAAAATTATCAAATCAAAGTGGCTAGTGTCTTCTCACAATTTTCAAGAAATATCTATGCTGCTTTTTTACAAATCTACTGTTATTAGATTGAAGATGGGTTACAGTAAAAATAAAGTTTGCATTTTTCGGTATTTGTCGAAGCAATCGTTCAAAACTCCTGCAGCTGTTTTCTGATCTTAAAGGGAAGAATGAGCCTTTCTGCTCCATTTCTCTGTTTGGGCGGCATGAACCTTTCTGCTCCAGGCGCTCGAATACAGCAGAAGCACGAGGTGGTTGGGAGCTTTTATGATCAACCAAGAGGTCTCTTGCGTTGTGGGTAAAATTTGCCTTAATTGGCCGAAATGTCCGGGCTTTCCTTTCGTTTTGTTTGTTCGTCCCTGGCTGAAGGAAGGGACGAGAGCCAGAGAGGCGCTACAGCGAGCAGACGAGCTAGCGTGCTAATTTGATCTAGCCGAGCGTGAGGAGTACAAAGGACTGCTTCTCCTTGAACCCAAAGATCAAGCAAGTGGAGATATATAGCCAGATTTGATTTCAGAGAACAAAGAAGCAAGCTAGGCCGGTATGATTCCTTCCCTTTAAGATCAGAAAATAGCAGCAGGAGTTTTGAACGATTGCTTCGAGAAATACAGAAAACTGCAAACTTTATTTTTACTGTAACCCATCTTCAATCTAATAACCGCAGATTTCTTCCTCATATTTCTAAAAATGAGACCCAACCTTCGTTATTATTTTTCCATCTGAGTTCATCCTTGTTCTGCTCTCTCTTATTCGTTCATTCAACGAGACAATGGCAGTAACCATGGTTAAGGATCAATGCCATAGAGTTATCAACATTATTATTATTACCATCAAACGGAGTCAAATCTGGCTATTTGTTGCATTCTGATATGATATTCAATTTCTTGCTTTTCTTCCCTGTCGTAATTTCCTTGTGGCTGTTGCAGTTACCATCTTCATTTTCAATTCTTTAAGATGGTGTTCACATGAACTTGTTGCTTCTATGTATACGTGTAGTTTAATTCTTGTGTTATTCTAACTGAAGTATTCACTTGGTAATATCCTTAGCTATTTGAACTCAACTTGCTAACCTTTACAAGAAAGTTTCTGTACTTTTTTGCAAGTGTTTGATACTGTTAGACCGGTCCAGCCGATCCACACGGAATTGACTCGGGTAGAAAACAGGCGGAAGAATCCGCCTCTCGAGTATGCTGATCGGACTGCAGAATCCAAGGGAGCTTTTGGGAAAAATTTTTGAGGGATTTGAGAGGGAAATTTGATTGTAGGGATTGTTTAGAGATTTCCTTTTGAATTGTTTGCATTAAATAGTTTGTTTTCTTAAGGTTAGGGTATTTTGAATTTGGCTGAAATTTGAGATCTTTTAAGTTTAGGTTTCTTTTGGACTCTACTGGCGTCTAGAGATTTGGGAGAGATAGATCCCTCTCTTGAATAGAGAGGATCAATTGTATCTTGCTTTATTTCTTCAGTTAGTTTGATTTCTTTAATAAAAATTACTGTTTTGTTATTTTTTTTTCCATTGGCTTTGCGGAGCAAATTGCTATTTTTGCCTCTTAGGTAAGCAGTTGTTCATTAATATTCTCTTGTGATTATGTTTTCGAGAGCTCATTTTGATAGAATATGACATTCATTGTAGTAAATCAATATAAATTTTCATTATGCATTGATTAAGTTTATCAACTTTCATGATGAAGATGGATGTTTTTCTTATATTAAATGAATTATCAGAAGGATTTTAGATGGATTATAACATCTATATATAACAGTTATCAGTTTTGTTAAATGTCAACCAAGAGTGATGTGAATGGCGAGCAATGTAGACCGCAAGATTCTTGCCTATTTCTTACATTTGTATAGTAGTTATTATTATCTTGGTGACATTTTTATTTTACAATTTTATTTTCATACATTTGTGTGTGTCCTTCAAAATATAATGCTTATGACTTACTATTCTTATGATTTCATCCTTTCAGCATATTGCAAAAAATGGTGTTTTTGGAGATTGGAATGAATGAAGACATTGTAGTCCCTTTTCATATGCTCGATCTCGAAAGGCTTCCTCTTCCGAAGGTTATACTCCTCAACCTCCTCCATAGAATTAGTTGTCGGAAAGCATCCAATGAACATGGCTACTATATTGCAATCACCACTTTGCACACCATTTCCGAATTGCATCAAGATGAGGATACTGGTGCTATCTTGTTCACAGTATCCTTAAGTTGCACTACAGTGAAGCCTTGCAAGGGTGAGATCTTAATTGGCACCGTAACTAGGATTTTGGAGGATGGCATTATTCTCAAATATGGACCAATGAGTAACATTTTGCTTTCAGAAACAAGGATGAATGACTACGAACTCGACATGTCTGAAGAGCCTATGTTTTTAAATGTGAACGGATTGTCATACATAAAGAAAGGCACTAAGGTGAGATTCAAAGTTCTCGACATTAAATGGATTGAAAGGGAAAAGGATTTTATTATTTGGGCAACTATTTTAGGTGATTATCTTGGACCAATTTGAGCTTATATGCTCATTATTTGGAATTCTAGCTAATCTTGTGGTGTAAGAGATTATGCTTTTATCTTGGTGGGTATGCTTTTATCGAATGACAATTTATAGAATTGAATGTTATGTACCCTTTTGAAGCAAAGGATATCTTGATTAAAATCTAGTTGAAGTGAATTTAATAGCAAATAGATTTATTTATGTGGTGAGCATAACATAAGTTTATCAATAAAATTTTTTATTGAACTTATGCCAAAGTTAATATGATATAATAATCATATTGAACAAATTTGAAACAGGATCAAAAATTTGCTAATAAGCACGAATGACCCAAATTTATAAATCAAAATTATCAAATCAAAGTGTTATAGAGACCGTTTGTGAAACTTTCTTACTATTTTGCTTTTCAGATTGAAATTACAGTTCTATTTGGCTAGTGTCTTCTCATAATTTTGAAGAAATATCTATGCTAGTAAGCAGGCTTTTACAATAACTTTTAAAAAATGTACTTTACCCGCAAGAGCTTTACAACCGTTTTTACAAAAAAATTGCAACCATCGTAAATAGACCCGTGATATGTTAAAGGTGACTCATTGACATCAATCTAACAACAATTAATATTATTGGATTTTAAATATACAAATGAAAAATAATTAATAAAAAATAGAGATTGAATGAGAAAGATGTTAAGCAAATGAAGTTTCCAAGAATAGATTTTATTTAATTAACACTTTTATTTTTCTCACCAAATACTTTATAAGCCCAATAAATTTTCTACCATATATGTATTTGCAGATTAGTATCTATTTAAGAGCATCTAAAAAACATATTCCTAAAATGGTTACCC